AGCGGCTCGAATCGATAAAGCCGCGAAAGAAATCTCGCGGCGAGGGGTTAATATTCATCGGCATGTAGATTCGGCTCTGGAGAGCTGGATGGGCCGGGACACGCAAAAACTGATGAGGCTGCATCGATCCCTCCGGGGAACAGGGAGCCTCCGAAAAAGCTAATACAGCGGGGAAGTTCGTTCCAGCCCTCCGGAACGAAGTTCGGAAAGTCCTCGACGACAAACAACGGTAACGGGAAGTTCGGCACGGCCGGGGGAGGGAACTCTATTTGCTTATTCCAGGGCCGGCGTGAATGAACGAAGAAAGACCCGGGGTGAGCTGTTCCGATAATAAACGTCGTTACTGGCCGAACGTCGATAACTTTATTAATACCCGCGGCGCGCGACCGGCGCGGAATCGAGTCGCAGACGCGACCGACCCGTCTCTTCCTACCAGCGATTCCTGTTTCCTTGCAATTCTTGTATTATATTGCGATATGAACCTCTTGCGTTGGAAAGTCACCAAAATTGCCATCTTACAAACATAGTCTAGTCGCATTAACACTAGGTTCACGAGCATTTATTGTACACTTCATTCTATTATTGCTAAAAGAATTGATGCTCGTTTATTTAGATTATGGAAACTGGAGATTTGATAGTAGGCAATTGAGATAATGTCAGTGTGATCGATCAAAATCGTCGTAAACATTTACAAAGTAATATTTCTAAAATCCAATATGCGTCAGTTTAACGCGTTCCGTAATCCTAATGTTAACACTAGAACTACCGAGCATTTAATACGATTAGTATGCAATTCCCATAAAAATTGTAACAATAGATTATTCTCAGTTTCTTCAGACATTCATTATAGTATTCGAATGAAGCTATTTTCAAAATCATCTATCAATCTAGTGTTCCCTGTTCTTCGATGTTCAAGTAACAACTGGAAGTTCTACCTTGTTTAGAGAAGTCGGTAGACGTTAGAAAAACGGATTTTCTTTCCTAGAAAATAGCCTCCGACAAGGGACTATTGTTCTCGAACGGTTTAGCCTAGTTCGCTCTCGCCGGAGAACTTGCTCAGACTTCGGAGCACGGGAGCAGCTCTGCCTCGATAAATACTCCCCAGCGGACCCAGCTGAATAATCTATAACGAGGGACCGCCGCGATTCGCTTATTATCTTAACGCAACGTCGACGAAGCTCCATATTTGTCTCGTAAGCTTCGAGGAAGCCGCTGCTCTAGTAGTGGGAAAAAGAATCTGCCTCGATAACTGCTCGTCGACGGACCGGACCGAGTATCTTACAATCAGGGAATATTTCTTTCGAAATTTCGCAACTACACCTGCTCTCTTATCAAAATCTTCAACGAATTCCAACGAATAATCCTAGCGTTTGACGCTTTGACTACTGTCGTCGCCAAAACGCGCTCAGAAAACTTCAATACATTGTTCTTCCTGTATTGTATTCGCCTATGGACGCTCAAATGATTCCTCGAAAAACTTTTCGGTGTATTCTCAACTAAATTCAAAGGGTTAAGCTACGGGGATCCAGAAAATCGAATTTCTGGTGGCAAAGCTCGAATCGTTCGAAATCAGCGTTGGCCTATGGATGCTCAAAATGATTCCTCGAAAAGTTTCTCGCTGTATTCTCAAGTAAATTCAAAGGGTTTAAGCTATAGGGATCCAGAAAATCGGATTTCTGGTGGCAGAGCTCGAATCGTTCGAAACCAGCGGTTGAATCTCAACGCTGCAAATATTATTGCTTCATTATTCACGCGCCGATGTTCCTTCTAAGCCTAGAGGCACAGTCAAGCGAACTCTGGCAGTAACCATTCGGATCACAGTACCAAAGCACCGTCGAAACAGCAAGACACGCGGCAGCGTAGCAACGAACGATCGGATCGAAGGTAAAAACTCGTTGCATTCGGATCATCGATCGGCGCGGGTTCGTTCATCGAGCGCGATTCGAATCAGCATTCGCTCGGCGAGGCCTCGATCGAGGACCGTTGAATATTCACGGTGTGAATCATTAAAATGCGCGGCGAGTCGCGCGCTCGGTACGCGAGCTCGCGCGCGCGGAGCTGACCTAACGGCCGTGTTCGGCCTGTCCCCGTAATTATGCGACACCGTTTGAATTTGTTAACGAGTCGGTTTCATTATCGCGCTCGTTAAGGCCCGGCCTGTTATTGTCCTCGCGAGAGGTGCGCTCCAGACGGGCCGGCGCTCCCTGTCACAAATTGATTCTAATTGAACACAATTTAACGGGGAAATTAACGCGGCCGCGGCCCGCGACGCGACGCGGCGCGACGCGACGCCGTCGAACGGATTACGCTTTCGCCGGAGCCTCTCGGGTCACGCCGCCGGAATACCAGTCGAACTAGGAACTGCTGTTGATTCACGATAGAAACACCCAGTGATTAGTCATTTGTTCGTTATTCCTTCTAGAACTCCGTCGAGTATCTGTACTCGAGATTTTGAGCGTCTTCTGCTGTAAGTCTCTGAATGCAGAGGTTCATTTTATAGTTTCTCGCGTTATCTTTCGGTATTCGTAGAATAATTATTGTGAAATAATTATTACGAAGTAATGTAGAATCACGAAGTATTAGTAATGAGAGAGACGTCGAAGGGATCGTTTCTAGGCAGTTCTGGCAATAGAGCTAATGACAGGGTAGAGAACACTAAATCCTCGGATTTTCCGTTTGAAACGGATGTGCCGGATGATTGTTAAGCCTGACGCAATGTCGGAAGGTAGAATCTTCCGTACATTGTTGATTGCGAACGTAATCGTAGACGACAGAGAGAATGTACAGGATAAACAAGCTTCTGATCTGGATTTCTGTAAATCCTTCGGATGTCCCCGGACGTTTTAAAAACGGAGGTAAATCCGGGGAAATCCGGGCCAATGGCGGACGTGATCGGAACGCGTCGTTATTGGAGCAACACCGTCGGGGACGGCACGCGTGATCCGCGAAGGTTCGAACGAAATAATCGGCGGGCGCAGGGACGAGCGTTTCAAGGAGAAAACACGGCCGTAAGAAGGAAAGTTCGGGGCGAGCGAGGAGAAAACTCGTTTAAACTTTAATCGTGTTAATGGACGGAATCCCGAGTTCCATTCGCGAATGCGAATTTCGGGGGAAGTTCGGCCCGGGAGATCGATAGAGAGACAGAAGGGGCGGTCGCTTAAAAGGAGACCGTCAACGTTTATTCTTAACTCGATGAAATCCTCGGCGAAGAAGTCGTTCCTCGCCCGGGCACAGAAAGTCGCGACAAAGAAACGGATTTGCATGAGGATCCGGAGTCGGGAGGGTTGCGAGTATCGAGTCGACGTTCGGCGATCGGCGAAATATGTCGAACTGCTGCGACCGATGAGCGTTGAGCAGATAAGTTTATTGACGGACGCCTGTCGATCAAGAGAACTGATAGGTTTAATGATGTATAGTATAGTTCATCTTACTCTTCGAGAAAATGGTCACTTATTTAGATCTTGGAAGCTTGAGATTTAGAAATAGACAATATATACGTCCCTGTAATTGCATCAACCAAACTCGAGGTAAATATTTACCAAACATTTACAAAATTTTATGAAATTTTCATTTTTCTATGGAGACTCCAACAGTATTGAGATTTCTATCGATTTGCAATTCAGTTTGCCTATCGCTGGATCAATTTCTGTAGTAATTTCTCAGGCCATCCATTTTAATAATTGATAAAGAAGCAATCAGGAGTACTGTTAACCTTTGCACTCGAAAGTTTTTCACTAGAAATATTCAATATTCTTCGATGAGATACAGACGATGTTTGAAACTAATTAACGAGGAAACATATATAAATTAATAGTCCGTATATTGATGCATCATACGAAGCTTAACATTATCTATAAGACTTTATAATTTTGCAAATGAAATCAGTGACTGAGAATCGCCTCTCGAGTGCAAAGGGTTAATAACGAGTAATGTAGTACGGAACGCGTTACGAATTCTATGCATCGTATCACCGATTCAACGGAGAAGCCGGCTCCGCCGAGTGAAACGAAACTTATTTACGTATCAGTCCGCCAAACAGAGTCGCGGAATCACACGGCGTCGACGACTGCGCGGGGATCGGGGAGGGGAAGGCGGTTCAACGAGTTTCGGGATAGACGAGCGTAATTTATCGCTTAATTAAGCCCGAAAACGCTAGGAATCGCTCGAGCGACGATCGAGCGCTCGCCGAGGCGTGGTAGGCTCGCCGGGAACCCCGAACTTTCGGCTAATTGCAGCGCGAGCGCCGGCGACGATATAAATTTCCCGTCGGGCGGCCTTATTTTTGCACAGCCGCGCCGCGCGGCTTTCCCTATTTTTCCGTTCGAAGCCGGCTCGCGCGGCCGCGCGCCACGCGACGCGTTACGTTGCTAACTTCCTTATTGATTTTCCCTGTCGCCGGAGGTGTAAGTTCGAGTTTCGAAGGAGGCCATTGCGTTCCCGCGAGTTCCCGGGAAAATAAGAACGACGAATCGATGCCCGGCAATTTATCGCGGCGACCATTTTAGACCCTCGACCGACCGCGGTCGCGACGACTCTCCGTAGGCGCGTCGCCCTCGGTGATCTTTGAAGGGGACGGTGGAAGGAGAATGATCTTAGATCTTCCGGTATCGATTTCTGGCGAACTCTCAGGAAAATTCATGTTTCACCCTTTGCACTCCAAGAGTTTTCTAGCATAATTAGCTAATATACTTTCCGACGAATTATAGTGAATCTTGAGACTAACTTAACGGGGAATCGTTAATTAACCCTTGCAATCTAGCTTCAATGTTAATGTAATTCCGAAGGGAATTGATTGAATAACAATTTGACTGAAGCCAGCGAATGATTCGCTGCGTGCTCTGTCCGGTCTAAATTAGATATATTTCATGAACGTATTAATTACTTTGCAGATGGACAAACAGTGCCGACGCTATGCGAGCTCGCGGCGCGTTGCGTGGCTTCGCACATACCGTTCGAGCTCGTGGAACACGTCTACCCGCCCGTTCCCGAGCAGCTCCAGCTCAGGATAGCGTTCTGGAGCTTCCCGGACAACGAGGAGGACATCAGGCTCTACTCGTGCCTGGCCAATGGGAACGCGGAAGAGTTTCAAAAGGGCGAGTACTTCTTTCGGCAGAGGAGCGTCAAGGACACCCTGCAGATCGGTGAGTCGGATCATCTAATCGTCGGTCTACTTACCAATCGCTAAGTTCTAGTGAACCTAACAATGAAACACTCGAAGTTTCCACAGGGAAATTTCAACAGTCAATTCAACTGCTCGATAGTTATCGTTAACCGAAGTAAAATAATTCGATTAAGAAACAACCTGAATTCGGTGTCCTTTATTTACACTTTGATCCTCGCAGCTCTTAATAGAATCTGAGATTATGGAAAAATGGCAATATGTGGGGATAAAATTACCGATCAGATTATTAGACGCTAAGCCACAATGGCTAAGGAATCGGGACTAAAACGATTCGATTGAGAAACAACCTGAATTCGGTGTCCTTATTTACACCTTGATCCTCGCAGCTCTTAGCAGGATCTTTGAGATTGTAGAAAAATGGCACTATGTAGAGATAAAATTACCGATCACATTATTAGACGTTAGGAGGGCACAATGGCGGAGAGACCGGGAATTCGCGAGTCGTCGGAAAGTTGGCCATCTTTCTCCGCGACGGTCGCAGCCAGACGTTGCGCTAAGTCGGCGAGCCCGAGGCGTAAACCGGACGGCGCGGGAAGCGGCGGGGACAGAGATAATTGGAAACCTGACCCTGACGTTTCCCGATCGTCGAACGATGTCGCGGGGTCCTCCGTCCGTCTCTCTGCGAGCCGACGCTGAAATGAGTTTAATGCCGGATCGATGCGAGAGGAAACGAGCGGAAACGGTGCCGCGGGGGAGGGAGCTTTCGGATCAATTAGCTGGAGAATCGAGCGTCTACGGAATTCCAGTTTCCTTATATTCTTCGTCCTTTCGTTGTCCGCGAAAGCGAAAGGCAACCGCGCCGGAGAGAAAGGAGGACGAAGCAGAGCCTTTGATCAATTATTCTCTATTTGCTTTTCATCTCGCGACTCACTTTTCGAACGTCCGCGGGCCAGCGAGGCTCGTTTATTTACACGAGTGGAAAATAGTTCGATAGGCCTCTGTGAGTACGGGATTCAATGTACCACTGTTTGACGGTCTAATCGGTAATTAGTACGTCTCATTTGAACCGTGTTCGTGCAATTATTCCTGCGCTTGTCGAGAAACGAAGAAATGTTTCTAACGAGCGTTCTATGGTATCGAGTTGTTATGTACAATTTAAACTCTTATGTACAATTGAAAAGGTATTAGTACGCTTCATAAAATCTGTTAATTGCGTACCGGTAACGAGAAATCTCGGTTTTATATAAAGACACTTAGCTATGCAACTTCGCTAATTACCACAGCATTTAAAAAAATATTAAATTTGATTTGAATCGATTATCTATTTGAAATATATTACATAACAACATGATATCTGAGTTTTTCTATGTATAGTCTCGAAAGTTTTTCACTTGAAATATTCAATACTTTCCAATCAGATGTAGACAAGATTCTTTAAAATGAATTTATCAAGAAGTCATACATAAATTAGGGAACAAAGCTGTTTCCTTTCAATATTTCACGCATTGCTGCAGTATACAAAGTTAAATGATAATACTACGGCCATCGATTTTCCGCATGTTTCTCATTCGAAACATTTCTATGCAATAACGGCAGGAGCGCACTCGAGTCGGGCACACCGTGCAGTCCCCCTGAATGGAACAATTTTCTGCCCCTGCAGGAGCGCCGCGGAATTTAATCCTTGATTTCATTGTTCGACCAAGACGATCCTCGGACGGCTCATTTTCCGAGAGCTAATTTACGCGGAAGGGGCCTGGCGCCTTCCGCCCCTGAACGTTTGTCGGCCGCCTCGAGCCGTTGTTTCTTAATGTACGCGGAATTGCGTCTTTATCCGTTCCGAGCAACCTCTGTTCCGGCTCAGATTCCGCTCTGAACTTTCGATCCACCTCTCGAATTGTTCTGTGGCGATGCTTCTTTGGAATATCTCAGACGAGACGAATGGCGCTTGAATATTTCAGAACCTCAGTGCTTCCGGGATCAACCCTTTGCCTCGCCCGCCTCAGATTTCAGCTCTGAATCATACGTGAAAGGTGCCATTTCGAGTGCCGTTAATTGCTGGGCGACTAGCTTCGATTCTGAACGATACTGGGGAGAAACCGGTCTGAAGTTTGTTTGAATTCCCAGTTATGCAGTCTACTTTCGTGGGCTACTTACCTTCGGCGTATCATTGAACGAATGGGAACGTCTAATCGAAAAACGCAACGTCTAATCGTAATCTTGTTTCGTTCTGAAATTTGTAAGCACCAACGAAACCTAACTAAACGAAGCCACGACCTGTTGGAAAGAGTCAAAGAAATTGTCGCTGAGGAAATGAAAACGCGTTAACACGTTCGCTGCCACAGTCCCATGGAAGCGTAGCTTAAAAATGACTAGAAACCAATTACAATTCCTAAGACGACTGACGTCGAAAACTGTTCGATACCCTAACCGCTATCAAACAGCGTAAATTAAGAATCACGGTAGCAAATGATTGACAACTCCTTTTCGTCTCTGCTACAAATAACATGGCGACGTTCTCCATAGCAGTGGACGCGTTAACACTAGGTTTACGGTCATTTATCGTACAGTTTATTCTATTGTTCCTTGGGAAGTCGATATTCGTTCACTTAGATTTTGGAAATTGTAGATATAAAAATAGACAACTAGGATTCATATTCGTGTAATTGGCTCAACGAAAACCGATCGAAACATTAACCAAATAATGTTTATAAACTTCAATCTGCGTCGAATTGACGCGTTCCGTAAACCTAGTGTTATGAACTGACGGTGCTGTTTCCCCAGGCTTCCACCTGAGCGCGAGCGTGAACTCGCGCGAGCAGGGCATGATGAACGGCGTCAGGTCACAGTTCAACGTCGCGGTGACGTTCGATCGGCGGAAGATCACGACCTGCACCTGCACGTGCCCGTCGAAGGCCTATTGGTGCGCCCATGTGGTCGCCGTATGTCTTCACAGGATACACATGGTAAGTGGAAATCGGCCCGACGAACTTCCATCGACGTTCGTCCTCGGAACGACATTCGACACCGCGATCGGGAACCACTGTCCCGGAATAAAATGTTCAGTAACGAAAATTCACGTTCGTTTGGTGCACAGCCCACGCAGGTATGCCTGAGAGCTCCGGTCAGCGAGTCCCTGTCGCGTCTGCACCGCGACCAGCTGCAGAAGTTCGCGCAGTATCTGATCAGCGAGCTGCCGCAGCAGATTCTGCCCACGGCGCAGCGCCTCCTCGACGAGCTGCTGTCGGTGCAGCCGAGCACCATCAACAGCTACTGCGGCGCGCCCGACCCGACCGCGGGGCCCTCGGCGCACGACCAGACGTCCTGGTACCTGGACGAGAAGACCCTGCACGACAACATCCAGAAGATCCTCATCAAGTTCTGCGTGCCCGCTCCGATAGTCTTCAGGTGGCTAACCTTTCTTTATAGGATCGGGGACCTAACCCGATTCCTTTGCCTTGGCTCGCGAGAATTCGTTCCTCGGATGTGGAGGTTCCTCCGGAAGATCATGCTACCAGCGCTTATTTCAATCGTGGTCTCCATTATATTTTTCAATAGATCTAAACGTAATAGGAAAATGAAGCTGAAACGAAGCATTCGGTTCCTAAATGTGATGTAGTTTAGCATTTTTGGTAACAGTATCTATAGGATTCACGAATAGAAAAATGAAGCTGAAACGAGGCATTGAGTTCCTAAATGTAATATAGTTTAGCATTTCTAATAACAGTATATATAGGATTCATTTTCATTATGTGGAATGGATTATGACTGAAATATGCGATGCTCACGGTATTCCTTTGCGTCTGAATATTTCATTCAGTTCAATGTTTTACTGCGTTTTCAATTATAAGGCTATCCTACCAGACTAGAGTTCAACGGGATTAAACAGAAACCAGAAACAGAAACTTGTTCGGTCGAGTTATCGAAGCTCACTCGATTCCCAGCGACGGTCCGCCAGTGGACCACGGTGTTTCCATTTCATTCGACTCGTGGACATGTTCCGGCGCGTTTTACACATTTGAAAGCATAATAACGCTTGGTTTTCAGCGATGTAAATTACCTTAGCACGACCGCGCCGCCGGCAACCGCGGAGTGGTCCTCGCTGCTGCGACCCCTGCGCGGCCGTGAACCGGAAGGCATGTGGAACCTCCTGTCGATCGTGCGCGAGATGTTCAAACGCACCGATCGCAACGCGATACCGTTGCTGGAGATCATCACCGAGGAGTGCATGGCCTGCGAGCAGATCCTCGTCTGGTGGTTCAACACGAAGGTAGCGTTGCTGAACGGGACCGGGTACGGCGGGAAGAACAACATGAACAGCAACGTGCACGCGTCCCAGCACGCCTGCTCGTCCCTCTGCGACGAGATCGTCGTGCTATGGAGACTGGCCGCGTTGAATCCCGGACTGTCCCCCGCCGAGAGAGAAATGCTTCATAATCGGTTCACAGCCTGGCACATGAAGATCATCGATAAGGTGAGGGCGCCTCGTCTTATTTTTCCTTTTGCCTCTTTGAAACGTATAAAAGCTCCAAGAGATAAAGATGAATTATGTATCAATTGCTTAGTTAATAGAAAATAGGGAAACCACGCGCTGATCGTTTGTTGTTCGAGTAATTAAATCATTTGAACTGGTCGACTCGCTTGGAAGCTAATGCGGTTAAGTCGATGTTCATTCACTTTTGAGTTATTCAAGGATTCACTCTTCGTTACTATATCAGAAAGCCCTACTTACAGCTTCTGAAATGATTGTACAACATATTCAAATGATTGCACAATAATTTCAGAAGCTGATACACGAATTTTCTCAGTTCTTCTCTGGACTTAGTCGGCGTTAGTCGGAGAACAAGATTGATCGGGTCGTTGAATTTTGCTTACTTGTTGGTACCAGGTGAGGAAGAGCCGGGGCAATTCGGTGACGCACAATTCACACAACAGGAACAACAGCGGCGGCCACAAGGACTCGCTGAAGAACGATCTGGCGGTTTTCACCGGGTTCAAATCAGCCCTGGAGGCCTGCTATCTGGATTGGGAGGAGTACACGTTGCCGGGTATCACCTACACCGCCGGAAGCAATCCCATGTATCATTGTCCGTTTACCTGCTTCCGGCACGTCGGAGATTCTAGGAGCGAGGTTAATCAGGTTAATACGCAGCCCCATTCACCGCGATCGAATCACGGAAACCGTGATCCTTGCGATCAGCACGCTGCAGTCCTTTTATCGCAATGCAGCTTCGAGATGCAAGGATGTCCCCTAGTTCAGATTAACACCGGGTTCACGGATATTTATCGTACAAAATATTTTGTCTTCAACACATCGAGCGCCGGCCCTGCGATAATGCGAGATTTTTACTCTATTCAGATATGCGTAACACAAATCGAAAATAAAATTTACAAATTCCCCGTTTTCTTCCGCAAGTTAGAAACTTTGGTTTAATCGACGTTTAAAAATGTGTCAATATAATCACCTACACTCGCGTTTTTAGTAGCCGAAATTTAGCCGGCGTTCGGTGTGTTAAAATTGATCTTCACCCATCCCCTTTTTGCCAATTACAGTTTGAGAAACAAATTATTAGATTACTCCTGTGGTTGCATCGATCCGAATCGGTGCAAGTGTGTTCCGTGAACCCAGCGTTAAACGTATCGAGAAACTCCCCTACGAGAATTGCTCGAAACTCGTCAAGACGAACGCGCGGCGGTCGTTAATCGGGCGAAATTGAATACGCGAGGATTCGCGCGCGCCGCCTGAATGGATTTAAATATTCCAAGGGCCAACTGGGCGAGAGTTGCGTTCCGGCGTGAATGTTTGAAAGCGCGCGTAGGAGTATTTCCCAGGTGGGCCGAGCTGTTCCGGAGGCTGAACGGGCGGGGGTTGTTTTCCAGGTGAACTCGAGCGCGGCCGTGTTGAATTGTCAGCCGCCGGTCTCGCATCATCACGGGAGACGCATGGAATTCAGCTACATGGACCGGAAGCGGTTAAACCCGCGGAACTTCACGAGCCTGTGTCTGCGGAACGGCGGCGGAGATGGGAACCGGAGCAGCGTCAGTTCCGAGGGTTTCTGCGAGAACGAGACCGACATACCCGATATATCCGAGCCTCAAGTGGTGCTCGTCAGACGATGTTGCGCTCATCTAAACAATTGCGGGGACACGGACTCACAGGTGCTTTCCAGTCGGCGCGCTCGCATTGTCCGACGCCTCTGCTGCTTATTAGACACGCGTCGCATTCTGCTTCGATAATGCTGTCGATACAGTTTTTATGTCTTCCTTTTCATTAACCTGTTACAACGGTACTTACAGCGTCCTTTTGAACGGTGCGCCATTATAGCGCAATTGTCTGTCGTAGTTGTACATTATGGTCTAATCTAACGTCGACAGTGGAAAATATCAGTCTCGAGTATCAAATGATATTACATGTATAGAGGTTCAGCTTCGCGGTTAGTCCCGCTGTAGGGAAAAGGTTAAACATCGCGTTTATCTAATTACGGGACAGTTAGTAGCGAAGGTCCCGAGTTATCAGAGGTTTCGAGGAACTTTGTTAGCTGTGATAGGATGAACGAAGGAATTCTAACCGATCGATGTCGACCGTTTCAGGAGGGTGGTGGCAGCGAGTCGTCGTCCAACAGTAACGAAAGCCTGAAGAACGCTCAAGATTCGGACAAGCACCGCTCAAACGCCTCGTCCGAGACCCATAGTGATAGTAGTGATAGTAGTAATAACAAAGCTGCCACGGACATGAAGCGCAACAGGGTGAACCACGAGCACCGCGAGAAATCGCGCGCCGCTCTGCCGAAGGGCAGCGGTTCGAAGGACAAGCAGGAGTCCGACCAGGAGAAGGACCCGTCCAGGAGACCGTCCAAGGACGAGAGCTCGTCGTCGAGCAGCGACAGTCCATCCTGCGACGAATATCACGTTTACTACTACGACCCCAAAGCCGTGGCCAGCACCAACGGCACCTCCGGCAAGGACTTCAACAAGGACTCCCAGAATTCCGGCACACCGAGCGCGAGCACTATTCTGGGCAACCTGATGAAGACCGAGGACCCATGGGATATACTCTTCGCCAGGGCAGAGGGGCTCTACGCGCACGGACACACGCGGGAAGCTTGCATTCTGGGCGTGCAGCTTGGGGAAGAGCTGCTGGCGAACCCTCCGAATCTCATGATCAACGAACCTCCTGTGCCTGTCAAGGGGAAGAAGAAGAAGGTAGTAGTTTTGGTGCTTTCACGGCCTGGAGTGTTGGCTGTGTCCACTAGGAATTTTTTCTCAACGTTTCGCCAGCATTGCAGCTGGCTTCGTCGCCAATTATTTTAAGGGAAAAAATTCCCAGTGGACACGGCTCTCCCGAAAGCCAGAAATGAATGTAAGAAGGTAGCTAGAACGCTGGATGGTTCACTTGAAACGATATCTCTACTCTAAAGTTGCACGATAGACACGTTGAATGCTGTGTATAGTTCACTCAATTAAATGGTCGTTTGAAAACATTTCTATATTCTAAATTAACTAGGATATTTTAGTAGTCTACACCGTCGTTGGAACATGTGATGACCTGTTTCAGCAACAAGTAAACCCGGCGTCTCATCAGCTCACGTGCCTTGCGTCGGCTACTTTGGCAAAGTGCTGCTTCCTCTGCACGGTGCTAGCAGAGAATCCCGAGTATCACAACCTGGCGTTCAGAGTCGGTTTGTTCGGCTTGGAGATGGCTAGGCCGCCGGCTAACACTAAGCCTCTTGAGGTAATTGTTCATTCCTATGGAAGTGTTGCGAGGTATTCTTCTGGAGATAATGATCCTCATGTTATTCATTGCTGCAGGTTAAATTGGCTCATCAGGAGAGCGAACTGGTAACTCTTCTGAAGAGGATCCCGCTAGGTCCAACCGAGCTAGCCATGGTCCAACAGAGAGCCGAGCAACTTAGGGACGGTGTGCTGCGGTCCAGAGGTCACGCGTTGCTTCCCATTATGTTGGCCAGTTTCATATTCGACGCCCTGACATCAAGTACGAATCGCTTTTCTTCATTCTCTTCTCACTGGATTCTTATCGCTAGACTGAGGATTTTGCGTACCGAATAGATTGCGTAGTATCGTTTACATTACCGTCGGTGGGTTTCTGTAAGTTACTCTATAAACATCTATGATCGCATGGAGGTCCGCAGTCCGCTTATATTTTAGGTGACAAGGGGGTTGGTCGGGATTTAAGTTGCACGGTTGAAATTAGGGCAGAAACGATAATTCTTTCAGACAAGAGAGAGTTAAAGTTTGAATATTAAAGGCAGAGAATAAAAAATTGTGGAATGATTCGCAGGAGTAAAACACCTGCCCACAGACGTTGACGAGAACCTCGGATTCGACGCGGCCGTCACCGCTCTGGGGCTGAAAGCGAACGTAAGCGAAGCCGATCATCCGCTTCTTTGCGAAGGCACGAGACGCCAAAGGTAGCTCGTCGATTCTGTCTTATTCTATCGATTGTTCCTCGGCACGGTAACCCGACTGAATGTATCATTTCTACAGAGGAGACTTGGCCATCACATTGCTGGTCCACTACAAGTCCGAGCCCGCGAAGGTGGCCAGAATCATGAACAAACTGTTGGACCGGGACGTTCATCAGTTGATCAAGACGCCAATTCTGCCGAAGTATTACACCTCGAACAACCGACCCACCAAGAGCGAGGTAGACCACGTGAATTTTTTATAGTCGAAGCTGACGTTATTTTAAAATTCTCAACGAGGGTTTGCCGTTGCAGATGGTCAGCTATCTTCACGACGAAGAATGCTCCTCTCCGCTCACTGGAACGGACGCTGGTAACGGCGAGAACGTTATCAGCAACAGCAGCAGACCGCACAGTAGCACCAGCGCGGAACTAGAAACTGGAATGAGTGCGTTCACAGTGCAACCGCAGATTGTCCAGCAAACTGTGCCTACCAGGACGAAGGAGACAAGGTTTACAACCTCTTTAAACTCTCGTCCTATAACTGTCGTTAAAGTCAATTTTGCTTGCCAGAATTGTGTAATCCATTAGTGACTATTGATTGAGCTACTGGTCAAATTGGTTCGTTCATTCGTTTCAGATACAAAAATAAAAGGGTCTATCCATCCATTCCTAACCAGCCGTCCGAAGCCGGCGCTCATTTCATGTGCGAACTGGCGAAGACGGTTCTGATGAAGGCTGGGGGCAACAGTTCGACGTCGCTGTTCACGCAAGCGTCCACCAGCCAGAATCATCACGGGCCGCACAAGGCTCTGCACATGTGCGCGTTCCAGCTCGGCCTGTACGCTCTTGGACTGCACAATTGCGTGACGCCGAACTGGCTCAGCCGCACATATTCGAGCGACGTCTCTTGGATCACGGGTCAGGCGATGGAGATTGGCGCGCCGGCGATCTGGTTCCTTATCGAGAGCTGGGAGGGACACCTAACGCCACCGGAAGCCGTCAGCATAGCGGACAAGTCATCGAGGGGTAGCGATCCGAATATGGTCAGAGCAGCCGCGGAACTCGCGTTGTCCTGTCTGCCGCACGCCCACGCGTTGAATCCAAATGAGGTTCAAAGAGCCATTTTACAGGCAAGTTTGGTTCGCTGGTTTATTCTTGATCGCGGTGAGACTCAGCGATGATGTCACTTTATTATTAGTAACATACCAATAAATCTTGAACGCTCAAGCAAAAATTCAAAGAGAGATCTCATTGCAGTGTAAGGAACAAAGCGAAACGATGTTGGAGATGGCTTGCATCACCGTGGAAAACACCGCTAAAGGCGGCGGTGTTTATCCGGAAGTGCTTTTTCAGGTCGCCAAGTATTGGTACGAACTATATCTGAGGGTAAGTGAGTCGTACCAGAATATGCATCAGGAATAATTGTACGGTTTCATTATAATTAATCGTCCACTGGAATGCGCAGCACACGCCTGGCGGTGAGCAGCAGGACGACATGCCGCCACATGACCCTCTACAGTTAGACTTGAACGGTTTGTTCATGGTGGAGCCTGGTCCACCGGTGGACATGTCGAATGGTCAGATGATGCCTGGACCCACGCAGGCTGTCGTCGTGACCAGCACTCAGCCACCTCCTCAGCCGTACCCTACTCATCCAACCATAACCACGTTGGCACCTTTAGGTAACTTCGTTTCCCCTGGTCCCCGAGGGAACATCTCGTAACCGAGTGACTTACTCTCTTGATTTCTGGTCACAGGGGTTGGCATGCCGTACGCAATGGGCCCCTACAGTTTCGTACACCCTCACCACTCCATCACAACCTTTGGCGGGCCGATGCCCTCGCACAGGGTAACTCTGCCGCCAGCACCGTCGCACATGCAGATGTACCACGCTGCGTTCCCGTCTCATCCCGGCCACCCGCAGCATCCCCAGCATCCGCACCACCCGACGCAGTCCGCGCAGCCGCAGTCGCTACCACAGTACTACACACCGCAACCACCGCCACCACCGGGAACTCATCATCTGTTCACTATGCAGCAGCCCATGCCGGTCAATGTGAGTATCCCGAAGGATGATCCTCCGTTAGCTGCGCCAGAGGATTCGAAATTGGGCTTGTTGGCTTTTAGGTACAGGCAGGAGTGACCGGGTCCATTCCTGGACAGAACAATATGCCTGGCTCAGCGCTGGTCCAAGCACAGCCTATGATATCCACTGTGAGGACACAGCCGCAGGTAATTGGCTGGACCTGTTTCTGATATCAGTGCGTAGATTCGTAGCTATGAAACCATTCACGTATCGAGTCGTCTCGTTTGTTCGCCATAGGTTCACAGGCAGACTCAAACATTCAGCCCCTACCAGCTCCGAGCCCTCGTCTCAGCGTATCGCGTGGGTATGCTAGCCTTGGAGACTCTAGCTCGCAGAGTGCACGACGACAGACCGCAGGCGAAATACGCGCGGAATCCTCCATACGGGGAGGACGTGAAGTGGCTGTTGAGAGTGTCGAAGCGTCTCGGCACGCAGTACCTCCACCAGCTTTGCATCTGTACCGTGAACAGCATCGTTAGCCCGTTCGTCCTCCACGACGTCGTACTGGAGGCGGCGCAGTACCTAGCTAGAAGCAATCCGGCGCTTGTGATCCACCACTTGAGATCTGCCCTGCTGGCCCCTCTCGTTCACAAGTGTCAACAGATGTCAGTCCTTTTCTCTTTTTCACGCAGGTCCATTTGAATAAAGATAATATCACTCGCTTCTCTATTCGGATCGCAGGTACATTCAGTGCATGCACCAGAAACTGTATCATCTGGTGGTCGGCGACTACGAGGAGTTCGCGAACGTCGTGTGCGCGGCTAGGGCAGCGTTTCATATCACTCCGGAAGGACATGCTCAGTTCAAGGAGTGGCTACAGTCTATCAAAAGGTAACGAATACTCCGTTTGAAGAATAGTGTGAAGTAATTCGGAAACTGGAATAAATTGTCAGCGACGAACGGCGAAACTGAGAGATGTCTTTGTCCTTGCAGATCTCAGTCTTGCAACAAAGAACTGTGGGCGCAGATCAACGCGGCGCTGCAACAGAATGGCAAATGACACAGAGCGGAGCCAGGCGTGACGTGGCTCAGCTCGCTCCCGCCACCACCACCTCCACCGCCTCTACCACCACCCCCGCCGGCGACCCTAGTTCTCCAACATCAGCATCCCTGTCATTCTCATCCGCAGAGCATCGTGTGCGTTCACAGGCTGGCCAACCTCGACAAGCTGGATCAGGATCATCACAACGACGCCGCGCATCGCCGGCACGCGGCGGCCGTCGTCCCGTCATCGTCATCGTCGGCAGCGACGTCGACGACCACGAACGAGCACCGGACCATCGTCAGG